ACAGCTCAGAGCCTGGAGCCTGCTTTGGATTCTGTGTCTCTCGCCCTCTGTCCCTCCCCTGCTTACGCCCTCTCAAAAATAAGTGAATGTGCGTTAAAAAAAAATTTTAAGCAAAAAAAAAAAATAAATTTCTACATAAACAAAAACCCCAATGCTATTCCTGGGTACAGAGCTGAGGCAGTCAGAAAGAAAACGCTGAGCCCCACGTTAGCACAACTCGGAGCCTTGAAGCCGTAAGAGGCTGATACACACAGCAGAGAGGCAGGCATGTCCTGTGGGAACGGGCCAAGTGGGGAGGGCAGGTGCGCTGCCCACCGGCTGCTGGAAGCCACAGTGCGTCCTCCAGGAGGCCAGAGCTGCCCGTCAGCACGGTGGTGACGGCTTCCCTGCCTGTGTTCCTCAGAGACACTTCCGTTTTTCACACTGAGCAACTGTTAGCTTTATGACCAGTCGAGGCAACGAGGACCACGGCTCATGGCGTCCTGCCAGAACCCGCCCGGAGGACGCGGTGGCTGCTGCCTGGCTGGGGGGGCCTTACTTGTGCTTGTTCCCACTTTTGACCAGGTCTTCAATGTCCAGGATGGAGGTAGTCAGCTCCTGCTCCAGGCTCTTCTCTGGGGAAAGAGGCAGGAGTAAAGACGTGTCCTCAGGCCCACTGAGTCCCCGCAGACCCCAGAGGGACGCCCAGAACAGCATGGCTCCCACATAGTGAGCAGTGGCCACGGCCACCCCAAGACTCTCCCTCGGGGCAAGACGGGGGCACCCCCCCGCCAGGGACTCACCAGAGAGAACTCCTGCCCTGTCAGCCTGAGGGTCACCTGGGAAGGACCCCAGACCTTAAGCCCTGCCCTGTACCTCAGAAGGTGGCTGCTGGCCTGAGACTGATAAATAGGAGAGGGGATCCCTGGGAACTTGGGGGTTACGGGGCTGGAGGGGGTGCACAGTCCCACGGCCCGTCACCACCATCCCAGACACTCTCGAGGCCGTGCCCTGGGAGCATCTGTCTTACTAGTAGGCTTCAGTCTGGCACCAAGTTGCTTTCTCTCCCCGCCCCCACCCCCAAATGTCAACAGTGCAGGGAGCACAGAGCAGAGGCAGGGCAGACAGGAAGGATGGGGCGCCCCGAGGCAGAACCCACCTGACAGACCCAGGGCCCCTCCCTCGGGATAGCAGCCCATGAGCACCACACCCTGCTGGCTGTCCACCCTGCTGGCTGGACAGCCAGGTGGTCCAGGGCAGAAAGGTGCTCCAGAAGGGGCACAGGACCTTCCCAGGGCCCCAGGAACCCTCTGGGGAGCTGCTTTAACCCGGCCACTCGGGAGCCCTCGCCCAGGCTGGCGGGACCAGGGCTCTCCTCTAAAAAACACCCGAGGGCCCCAGGGCAGCCTCCTGTGGAACTGGGCTTCTGGCTCCCGGCCCCACTGTGGCAGGTACCAGGCCCAGTCCACTGCAGAAGCCGGAACACAGTGACCCGACCCCGAAATGCCCCCAGGGACAGCAGGGAGAGAAGCTGCAAGCTGGCACCGCCATAGCAACAGAGCAGCCAACCACAGGCTCTGTGGCAGGCCAGCCCGGAGCCCGGACACCTTCCTGGGGCAGGGGTGTGGGTTGTGAAGGGGTCCCAGCCAGCGCGGACCCCAGCGCGCAGATGCTGCGGGCGGCCAGCAGGGCCCTTCGCCTGCTTCCCCAGATGCAGGCCAGGCAGCACTCCGGCTCTGCACCTCTCTTCCTCCTACACGTGCCTTTCCTCCTCTCAGACCCCTCCTGCAGTCTCTGCTCACTGTCCCCAGAGCTGGGCAGCTTCTGGCGATGCCCCCTCACGTCCCACGGCAGGGCAGAGGAGGCTGAGACACGGACCTCGGACAGGGCGTGCGGCAAGAACCAGAGCAAAACGCGGAGGCTGGGATCAGGGGAAGACCGATGGAGGCTGGAGCCAGCAGGGCAGATGGGACGGCACCCACACTCTGCCGTGCAGGGCGGGGAGATCGGAGGGGGGGTGGTCTGCAGCCCAGAGGACCAGCACACGCCAGCTCCAGCATTGACTCCACTTTGGGCTGAAAGTGCCCCTCAGCTCCCACCACCCACCTCTGGACTCCTGACCCATCCCTGCTCCAGCACCCACCAGACAAGGTAAGGGATACTGCAGGTGGGGGTGGTGCAGGGGGGACGGTGCAGGGGGGGACGGTGCAGGGGGAGACGGTGCG